TCTTGATTGATATATCAAATTTTTTTATACTAGGAAATTTATTAAAGCTAGCGCACTATGGATGCGCATCTTGTATTTTTTTAATGCTTCATAGGAGCATATAATCAAGAAGGGTTTTTCAGCTCTCCAAATTCTGTGTCTTCTTTAGCCTTTGTTGTTAACTGTGCATTGTGACAATTTTCTGCTATTTGATTTCCATCACAACCCAATGGATGGAGAAGGGCACACGATTTAACTCCCAGGATTAAAAATTAGAAGCTGAGATGAAGCTGAGAAGCTGAGATGAAAATTGAATCAGAACATCACTGAGTAAAATAGGTAGCTCATTCATTGTTCCCACATATCATACTTGAACTTTAGCTTCCAAGTGAAAAAACATATGTGGACATTTAGGCCAAATAACTTGTAAGTTAAGATGAATTCTCATTCATTTTCTTTTTACTCAGAGTAATAAGTAAATGTTATATAGTTGAGGAGGAACGTTTTGAAAGAAAGGAAAAATGTTAAGGTGGGAGAATATTTATCCAAATCAAAGCAGAGACTACTTGCATTTACTTTTGGAAAATAATCACTTCTCATTTATTATCCAGAGGCTTTTCACCATAATATTTAACAAATGGTAAATGCTTCAGAAGTTTATAATAAAAAATACTTGACTTTCTAGACTAACTTAATGGCTAGTCTAGCCTGTCTCTTATAAATGTCAAACATACATAATTGAGTTTTGCTGGCTTCGTAATATTGTTTGTGGCATGATGCTGTATACACACTCGGTTACTACAAACATTAAACGAGTTTGTCAGCAAGTGGTGGAAAAGAATTGTAATTCAATCTCTGTGAATTTCATTATGTGGAGGAGGAAAAATTGAATGTTTTTTTTCCTGTTAATTGACACATAGAATAACTCCATTTCCTGCTTCAGTGCTTCTCATCATTTGGGAAAAAAAAAAAAAGCATACAGCAACAGAGGTATGATTCTGTGTCTGTCATTAGAATTTATTCACTCTGTGTACTTCACATTAATTTTAAGCTCAAGTGTAGTTACTTAAAAGTTAAGAAAGTATAATATTGATCTGAGATATATTCTGAACTGAAAAGCTGTGTGGCAGGAATGGTGGTGGGTAGTAGTTTGCAATATATTTTATGTGACTGGAATTTAAAAAATTTTAGTTGTAACTTTGGTTTTCACACAGTATTACTATTTCTTGAATTTACTTACATAGTCTGTTTGGAACCCTAAATGTTTATTTTAAAACAAATCAAGAAAAAGTACAATAGAATCCCGTTTCAAATCATGGCAAATGAGCATGTTTTTGAAGCTTTTTGTTCATGTCTACAAGAGAGGAAGTATGGGGTGCATGCCCAAGTACATCCTATAACCAAGTGCACGAGTGTCTATGAACGTAGAGGACAACAAACAAACCAACAAGAGCCCTACTACGACATACCCCATTTTCAGTTTTAGACCCAAAGCTGTTTTTAAAGAATCTTTTAGCATTATGTATTATTATTTTAATGTAATGGATTCTGCCTCAGATGTTTTCAAAAGCATTTGTTTTCTAAATTTGCTAATGACCACTGGTAAGCTATTGATAATTAGATTTTGGCTATGATAGCCTTCTTCAGATTGTTGGTCATATACACTGTATCTGATAAAGAGAAAAAAATTATTTGGGAAGTTCTTAACTTTTCTAATGTAATTTTGGATTATAAAATCTTAGTGAGCTGAGTGTTGTATATTTCATGCATTATTTCTATACCAGCTAGAAAGACAGGTGGGTAGTGTGCAGCTTAAAAATCTGTGCAAATAGGAGGACAGATGGGTGGTTTAAATGTCTCCATGAAAATGTTTGTGTGGAGAGCTTGACTCTTGAAGTTACACTAAAAAATCTAAGTAATTAATTGGGAATAATAGAGTTCATATAAAAAGCAATATTTTTAAAGAAGTGACATAAAACATGGACTTCATTGAATTGACTAGTTATAATTTTTTAACTTATAATAAAAATCAACAAATTAGAATACAGTACTCAAATATTGTTGCCTTATTTTCTTATTATGAACACGTGGACCCCAGAAGACTTCTTTATTACTTAGATTTATCTGCATAATTGTATGTGAACTTTTGAAATGTCTGTTGTCAGAATTTGTTGAATTCCAAGCAACAGCAACTTAAACTAGTTTAAAAATGATGAATCAAAAACAAAACAAAACAAAGCAAAACCAACTCAAGGAAAAGGGCCTTAGAAAGGGCTGTTCTGGCAACTTCTGCAGCAAATGTTCATGGACTTTCACTCCAGCAGGTGTTCAGGCATTAATGTGACATAGCTCCCAGCCGAAAGATTGGTACCTATTTCGTTGGGAATACAATTTGGATCTTGGGTGGTATCTTCACATGGGAGCCTCCCCCTGACTCATGTGGGTAAGCAGAAAAGGGGGTTGTCATTTTAGAGGAAGGCTGCAGGGCTGGCCGTAGATGTATCAATTGTACTGGCTCTTTTAGAAATGTGTTTCTGCAAGAAGGATGCTAAGTAGTAATGTTTATGGGTAAATAAGTATTGTATTCTATGAAAAAATTATTAAAGTAACTGAACATGTAGGCAGATGTGTTCCTGAGAATGTTAAAAAATCATTTGTGATTAGCATTATTGAAGTGGTTTATTAATTCCTAAGTTAATGCCATACAGAGTAAGTTACAACTACTCTAGGGATTTATATTAGATGAGGCAAAAAATTTATTGGTTTCTGAATGAACATTTTTAAAAATTCATAATTCAAATGATAGAATTTAAAAAAAATCACAGAGCATCCTTCATAATAAGGGGAAGAATTTTTTAATGAATTTCTTATTTCAATTATGTATTTAAAAATTTATATGATTATTTACTGGTTCATGGTGTAAAATATATTATCCTGTGGGTTGCAGTCAAAAAGTGAGAAAACCCACTCGTTTGATGGCTAATGTTATCTTTTTCTGATCCCTTCATATCAGAACTGAATGAATATATTTGCTCCCATCCTCCCACTGTAGTGAATCTCTTTTACTCTGTATTAGAATCTTTTTCCAGTCAGCTGTGAAAGGGTTAGGAAATATACTCTAGTGGTTATTTTCTCATCAACAGGTTCTTTATGTTATGAAGTGAAATAGGTTATCCAGGGCAACATTTTGTGAATAACTTGGACAATTATGAATATCCCTCTGAATAGGAACCAGCTAATGGTCTTTGGCTGGAGAATTATGCTCTGTAAAATATTATATGCAGCTCCCCGGAAGAAGTCAGTGGTGGTTCTGGTATCCAGAAACACTAGAATTTGTTAGTAATAGAGACATACCAGTCTGCTGGAAAGTTCTGTTTCCTTTTTCACCAGCTGGATGTAGTTCCTTGCCTCAGAATTAGAAAAGTGATGAGAAAGGCAAGAAAATTGTTCTAATTCTATTGCTATACGTGAGCATGTTCTGCAGTTTCCTCAGTCTGCAAAATCCCTGGCCTTTTCTCTGCTTTTGGCCCTCGGCTGAGGACATTCTCCAATAGGGAGTACTTTTCTGACTCCTGTCTATAGGGAATACCCAGATGGATGCTGAGCCTGAACAGAGTGGAAGCAGAGGAGAGCCTCTGATGTTTAAAATTCTCAACATAAGATCTATTTTTGGGGAAGATTCATTTGGAGGAGTCTCTTTGGATAGAGGGCAAAAATTAATATATACTTTGAAAAGTTTATTCCCTAAATCTAAATAATTGACAAGAAATATTTGTTCAGTTTGCATCAAACATTGAAGATCTTAAAAATTTCATTTATTTGTATAGTCATTCATTTATATTGCCAGTCTGTAAATATTTTCTGAATGATTTCAGTAAAGGAACCACAAAAAGGTTTTTTTAAAAATTAATTTATTTTATTTAATTTATTTTTGCTGGGTTGGGTCTTCGTTGCTGTGCGTGGGCTTTCTCTAGTTGCAGTGAGTGGGGGCTACTCTTTGTTGCGGTGCGTGGGCTTCTCATCGCGGTGGCTTCTCTGTTGCGGCGAGCGGGTGCTTCAGGAGTTGCTGTGCGCGGGCTTAGTTGCTCTGCGGCATGTGGAATCTTCCAGGACCAGGGCTCGAACCCGTGTCCCCTGCATTGGCAGGCGGATTCTTAACCACTGCACCACCAGGGAAGTCCACAAAAAGTTTTAGTTCATAAAATTATCATCTCCTAGACGACTTCTGCATAAAGTTTAAACTTCTCTGCTTGATTTCTAAGTCATTCACAACCTAAAACTGTTCTACCTGTATAGGCATATTTCCTTCATTTCCTCAAAACTTGCTGTCTTTGAGCTTACTGCTTTGCTTGCCTATGGAACATTGCTTATTCTCTTCATGTTTTCACTCATTCCAAATCACTAGACCATGGGCTGTATGTCAAAGACTCTGTTTTGCCAAATACTCAATTCTCAATGTCTAGCACAGTTCCTGGGGGTGAACAGTTAATAATATTTACTGAATGAAAGGAAGGAAGAAATGGAGAAAGAGAGGGTGAGAGGGAAGAACTGTTGTCTATCCTGTCTTTCTTATACCTTTCCAGACTTGCCTCATCTTTTAAGGTCTGTTTTCTCCACAGTCTCCTCTGACTTCCTGGTCTTTATTCATATCTCAAACCTAGACCTCAGAATTTAACATTATTTACAAACTTTCTTGTTTTCTTGGTTATACAATTTCATGTGCACTGTTGTTCCCGTTTGGTGTGAGCTCCTTGAAGATGAGAAGGATCATATATCTGTACAATTTTTCAAAAAATTGTACATTAACCTTTATTCACCAAACATTTACTGCAGTGCATGCTTCCTTCAGAGCATCCTTTGTACAAAGTACTGGCAAATAAACATAGTATGTGTTCAGTAACCTTTTGATTATTCATAAAATATATGAGATAACATGAAATAGTGGTAACTCAGTTTGCACATAGTGAAGATAGAACTTTTAAAATTATCTCTTTGCTAACTTTATTGAACGTTTTTTTCAGGGAAGGAAACTGAAAAGGCTAAGGAACGTTATGACAAAGCCACAATGAAACTTCATATGTTGCATAATCAGTATGTATTGGCATTGAAAGGGGCGCAACTTCATCAGAATCAGTATTATGACACTACACTTCCTCTGCTTCTGGATTCCTTACAAAAGATGCAAGAAGAAATGATAAAAGCACTGTAAGATACATTTCCTATTTGATATAAAATCCCTTCATAAAATGATTTTAACATTTTTTTTTCTGCTAGTTCACCTTTCGTATAAAAATCTTTGTTTTGTAAGCTGCATCATTGAACTAGCTCAATGGGTATTTCACACCTCTTCTACCTTGGTTTTCACTTCTGTTATCCTTTCAGTTAACACTCACTCAACTCCGCAACCTTCTAGCTAGCCCCAAGAATGTCTCTTATTTTTGTATGTTTTTGTTTTGCTCCAGTTAGCTAGAAATTTAGCTGAAAAAAAAAAAACTTTAGTTTGACAAGTGTTAGTTTTTTTTTTTTGTTTGTTTTTTGCCGTGCTACACAGCTTGTGGGATCTTAGTTACCCAACCAGGGATTGAACCTGGGCCCTCAGCAGTGAAAGCACAGATTCCTAACTACTGGACTGCCAGGGAATTCCCTTGACAAGTGTTAAGAAGCAGATATCTACCTCCAGAGGATTGGGTTTAAATCTTGAGCAACTGATAAGCCCAAAGGAAATAATTTTTTGGTTTATTTGCCAGCTTTTTGTTGTATGAGATTAAAATGAACAAATGTTTATTGAAGTTCTGCTGTATACAGAGCACCCTGGTGCTTGCAGATGTAGAGATGAGTAGGTCACAATTTTTGCCTTCAAGGAGCAAACAACGTTGGTCAGTAATTCAAATGCATATATGTTTACCATACAGATCAATTCAATATGCCACTCTATGGTAGACTTCATCTCCTTTATTTGCTGGTTTAGGTGATCCCCCATTTCCCAAAAAAAGATAAAGAGTTTTTAGTCAACTTGAATATGTCAACTTTTAAGGGTATTAATGAAATAGTGAAATATCTACTTAAAATATTTAATTCATAAATTTGTAATGTCTACTTTAAATTACATATTGTTGATCTATAAACATTTCCTTTCCTACTTTCATTTTATGAATCAATATTTTCTCAAACTCTCCATATGAATCTTCAATAATAGTGTCTTCATCATCACAAGAACATCCTTTTTTGAGACATATAATAGTTTCACACAGTGTATTATCTTTACTTTGTAATAAATTTTTTTAGATCTAGCATTTAAAAAAATCCAAGCATGATAATATCACTGAAATTGAATTCTATGTCACAAGTACTCATTCATATAACATTAGGAGACTTCTTCCTTTTTTTCCCCATTTGTCTTAAAGATGTGTTAATGATCTCCACATCATAACCATTTACTGTTTTGCTTTTTAAGAATTACCTAGATAGTCTTATTTACATTAATATCATTCAGTACTTTCAATTGTGAGGTCATAACCCCAGGGATATTTACTAAATCTGTATTAAATTTCTCTGCCTCCCTCTTTTCTTTAAACTGTGTCTATCAGGTGATTTCTGTAATCATTCCATTGCCTGAAGCAGTTTGAATTTAATTTTTTTTTAACCCAAACAGTATTTTGCTGTTCAGAATGAAGTAATTGAGAGAATGCTTCATAATAAGAGAAGTTTTGTAGGATTACTTTTTATGAGTGATGATTTTGGAAAAGAAAAACAAACAAGGCCTTATATTTATTTGGGTATATGCAGGATAAGCTTGTTTGTCCACACTTTTTAAGGCTACTAATGAGCAATGGTATATTTTTACAGCATAGCATTCTTAAGTTGGAGATTGGGTCTTTGTAACAGAATAGTTTTTCCTTTTGCATTTATTAGATAAGCCTAATAACTTTTATGATTATTTTTGCTACTAGCTGGAGGTCAGAAGAGATTGAGATGTCATTGAAGGTATAAACCAATTAAACTCTGTAAATATAATATGAAAAAGAGCAGATGCCCAGGAGCAAGAGAAGAACCAGGAGCTAGGGCATGTGAGGAAGCGGCAGGCACTGAACGAAACATTAAATAGACTGGAGTTTATCCACAGTTCCATGTTACGGAATCAGCATTTCAGTGGTGATGTTTAGAAACGGAAAGTGATTAGCACTGGCTTACACTTTGGATATGTTAGATAGATATTGGAAGATGTAATGCCTTACTCTAGATCATTTACAATTATTATATTATATCAAATGTAAGTTGTTAATCTGTACACGTGTATAATCCCTTCACTTCACCATCCAGGTATATGAAATAAGGTGGTGCGTTAAATCACCATCTGTAAAAATTGGCATTATACTTCATATTGTTTTAAATCCTTTTTGGGCCTATGTTTCCCTGATAAAACTTTAAAATGTTGTAAAATTTTCTTTTCTTTTCAGGAAAGGTATATTTGATGAATACAGCCAGATAACCAGTCTTGTTACAGAGGAAATAGTGAATGTCCATAAAGAGATTCAAATGTCAGTTGAACAGATAGACCCTGGCACAGAATACAATAATTTCATAGATGTTCACAGGTATGTATGATATTTTCATTCTTATTTCAGTATTTATGACAGTATTACTTTTTTTTACCATATAATATTTAACTGAATTAAAATAAGAAATATTGAAGAGCTTGTTAGGAAATAGGCTATTTTATATTAATTTGTTTTTAATTATTTTCAAAATCCTTTCTCGATGATAACTATTTAATTTATATAATGATCTTGAAAAGTTTTTCAGTTGTTACTACATCACTGCTTAAACCCATATTTAATCCATGAAATTGTATTTTCTTTTTAACAATTATATAATAATAATAAACATGGTTTTCTGTTTGTATTAAACTTTATAGTAATAATACATGAATTATTTTTTCATGCATGCATCATCTTATTTTATACTCATTACCATTGAGGAAGGAATAAAGCAGGTTAATATCTGTATTCTACAAATGAGGAAGCTAAGCTGAAATTACTTGACTAGATCTTTGAGGCCTAAGGTTTAGTTTGATTTATTCTATTTGTTTTTACTCTACTTTGTTAACATAATTTTAAATAAGAACAAATATTCTGCATTTGGTATGTACTAGGACATATTATGATAGTACATTCATATTGATAAAAATTATTTGGCATACTTTACTAGAACGACGGCTGCTAAGGAGCAAGAAATTGAGTTTGATACCTCCTTACTAGAAGACAATGAAAATCTACAGGCAAATGAGATTATGTGGAATAATTTAACAGCAGAAAGTTTGCAAGTAATGTAAGTATTTAGAAAATCTGAAGCTTAAATATTAGTGTTACTACTTACAGTTAAACTTTATCAGATTTAAAATTCTAATTTTTATTTTCTTGGAAGTAATGAAAAGTAAATTAAACATGAACTGATCTTTGGTCACAGTGAAATGTTTTGAGAAATATGTTAACTTTACCATTATCATCACTAATTTCGGTAATTCTGAAAATCAAAATTCTGTGTGGTGTTACATTCATTTGCCCAGTTATTGCTGATATCTTATATTGGAATAATGTTTTATTTTTTCCAAAATTTATAGAAATTTTTTTTATCCCATTTCATTCTCTAAATAGCAGGACCATTTTGGAAATGAGGACAATGAGTGTTAGAGATAAGAAGAGACTTACAGATGTCAGAAGCATTTAGTATAAAAATTTGACTTTTGAGTTCTTTTCTCTTTATAAGCAGAAGTATCTTCTGTTATAGGCTATTATATCAATTCCTTTTTCACTTTTTGTTATTGCATAAAATTTTAAAAGACTTTTGAGAAATCTTAATGTGTTTTTTGTCCTTTTCAAACATTTAAGGCTATTAACAGTAGATTTTAAAATTTAGAAAACATAATTAAGGCATTCTACTTTTAAAGTATATTTAAAGATATTTAACCTATCTGCTGATCTTGTTCAGGGGCAACACAAAGAAACTTATATTTATTAATAAATGTTGTATGTACCTATACCTGTGTGAGAACTACAGCCAGAAATGATTACATACTTATTTTCTTTTCAGTATTGGACATGTTATATCATCTGACTTATTGAAATTTTACCTCAAAAGACACAGCCGAAAGTTCCTATCTATGTAATTAAGCAATCTCTCTTCTGTTGTTCAGTGATGTTGTAGTGTTACAGATAATTAAGTGGTAGGATCCTGGGACTAGCTCTTGGTAAGGGGTTTAATGTCTTTAAAGTCGGCCAGATGGGATGAAGAAACTAAAAATGCTTGTTGAATTACCTTGTCCAAGATGAAGGCTTAATAGTTACGGGGGAGTGACCGTTGATGAGAGGAATGGAGACATGGGAGTACCCAGCATTAGAGGGTCTTTTTGAGCAGCCATAATGCGATTCTTGAAGCTATTTCTCAAGTTTTAAGACCCTTCTCAGGAATCTCTCTTTGATTTTAGGTATACTCTTACAATGTCAGCTATCTCTAAACCAGTGGTTCTCACCCTGGGCAATTTTTGTTCCCAGGGGTCATTTGACAATGTCTGAGACATTTTTATTTACCAGTTGGGAAGGTAGAGGCCATGAATGCTGCTAAGCAGCCTACAGTTCACAGGACAGCCTCCAACAACAAAGAATTCTCTGCCAAAAATGTCAGTAGTGCCAAGGTTGAGAAACTCTGCTCTTAACAATAGAGTTATATGCATGTCATAAAATAGATGGTAGAGTTTCTCAATTCTTGTGTAGTGACAAATTCCATTCCTTAATTCCTGTGCTGCTTGGTGAAGAAACATGACATAAATTACTCTTGTTTTTTTAAGTCATCATATTGACCCCAAATAATTCATTCATTTATTCATCAAGATATATTTACTGTGTGTTAAGGTTGTAAGGTTTAATACATTCAAGGAGTTTATGCTACAATTGATCAATTTAATTTAATACACCAAGAAAGAATGAGCATATAGATATTGGAGTGTTATGAGGTAAAATTAAAAATAGCTACCTGTTATAAGCTTATGTAAAATAAGAGATTTTGTGACCAAAGAAGAATTTGTTTTATTGCTTTTTAGGGTATAATTAAAGCAAAACTAATTATATTCATAAATCATTATTTCTTAATTGTGGTGATGAAGCAATGAACAAAAATGCAATAAATTAAAGTAATAAATCTTTGATAATGTGATAGATTTAATTGCTTACCTCTTACTGAGGCAAAACTTCAGCTATATTTTGTTGAACAGTGTCTAAATTCAGGATATGAATTTAAGATTAGACTTTCCTCAAGAATTTTATTCCAAGAATGAGTTATTCAATGTGTCTATTGGCACTGTTAAAATATTCTAAATTAATTCCATTAAAACATGTATATGTATATATATGTGTATATGTGTGTGTATATATATATTTTAATGTAAGAGAAAAATCTTTCTTTTTACCATAATCTGTATTAAATGTAAACTTATATCTTTTCTTTCCTGAGGTATTGATTTGCTAATTTTGTTGTTTATGTTGGAATATTAGGTACAATAGAAATGAGTGAAACAAATGAACACATAGTTTCCAGAAAAATAAACACAAATGACCAGTAATCCTGTGACAATGAAAGAAATATACATTTTTTTAAGAAAGAAGCTATTTCAACTACCAGATTGGCAAGGATTACGTAATTTGATAGTACCCAGCAGTGTGTAGGATATGGGAAAATAAGCCTTCTTATAAAGTCTTGGCAGAAATGTAAATTAGTATAACCTTTTGGGAGAATAATTTGGCAATATACATCAAAATTCAACTTGCAAACCTTTTAACTTAGAAATTCCACTAGTACTAGTGGAATTCCACTAGTACTTTAGCATACAAGTACTCAAAGATACATGTACAAGCTTAACATATTGAGTTGGTTGGGTCTGAATCCTAACAGTATGGCTTATTACATTTGTGAAACTGGACAGATTATTTAATCCTTTTATGCCTCATTTTCCTCAAAATGTAAAATGGTAATAATAATGGCACCCAATTCATAGTGTTGTTATGAAGATTACATGTATGAGTAAATGTGGAATACTTAGAAGAGTCCCTGGCACATAGTAAGTTCTGTGTATTAGGTTTTTTTTTAATTGAAGTATAGTTGATTTACAATATTATATAAGTTACAGGTGTGCAATATAGTGATTCACAATTTTTAAAGGTTATACTCTATTTAGTTATTATCAAATATTGGCTATATTTCCTATGTTGTACAATATATTCTTGTAGCTTATTTTATATATAATAGTTTGTATGTTTTAATCCCTTACCCCTATACTGTCCCTCCCTACTTCGGGCTCCCCACTTGTAACCACTGGTTAGTTCTCTATATCTGTAAGTCTATTTCTTTTTTTGTTATATTCACTAGTTTGTTATATTTTTGGATTCCGCATATGAGTGATATCATACAGTATTTGTCTTTCTCTGTCTGACTTATTTCACTTAGCAAATACCCTCCAAGTCCATCCATTGTTGCTGCAAATGGCAACATTTCATTTTTTTTTTATGGCTGAGTAGTATTCCATTGTATATATGTATATACCGCATCTTTTTTTATCTATTCATCTTTGATGCTTCCATGTCTTGACAATTGTCAGTAACGTGGCTATGAACATTGTGGTACATGTATCTTTTCAAATTAGCATTTTCGTTTTTTTCAGATATATACCCAGGAGTGGAATTGCTGGGTCATATGGTAGCTCTATTTTTAGTTTTTTGAGAAACCTCCATACTGTTTTCCACAGTGGTTGCACCAATTGACATTCTTACCAGCAGTGTACAAGGGTTCCCTTTTTCCACATCCTTGCCAACATTTGTTATTTGTGTTCTTTTTTTGATAGCCATTCTGACAGGTGTGAGGTGATATCTTATTGTGGTTTTGATTTGCATTTCCCTGATGATTAATGACGTTGAGCATCTTTTCATGTGTCTGTTGGCTATCTGCATGTCATCTTTGGGAAAATGTCTATTCAGGTCTTCTGCCCATATTTTAATCAGGTTGTTTGTTTTTTTTGATGTTGAGTTGTATGAGCTGTTTATAAATGTTGGATATTAACCCCTTATTGGTCATATCATTTGCAAATATTTTCTCCCATTCAGTAGGTTGTCTTTTTGTTTTGTCAATGCTTTCCTTTGTGATGCAAAAATATTTAAGTTTAATTAGGTCCCATTTGTTTATTTTTGCTTTTATTTCCTTTGCTTTAGGAGACCGATCCAAAAAAGAATTTCTGTGATTTATGTGAAAGAGAGTTTTGCCTGAATTTTCCTCTAGCAGTTTTATGGTTTCTTATCTTACATTTAGGTCTTCAATTCATTTTGAGTTTATTTTTGTACATGGCATTAGAGAATGTTCTAATTTCATTCTTTTATATGTAGCTGTTCTGTTTTGCCAGCACCACTTATTGAAGAGACTGTCTTTTCTCCATTGTATATTCTTGCCTCCTTTGTCGTAGATTAATTGACTGTAAGTATGTGGGGTTTTTTCTGGGCTCTCTATTCTGTTCCATTGATGTATGTGTCTGTTTTTGTGCCAGTACCATACTGTTTTGACTACTGTAGCTTTGTAGTATAATCTGAAATCAGGGAGCATGATTCCTCCAGCTCTGTTCTATTTGTTATGGCTATTTGGGGTCTTCTGTATTTCTATGTATTGGTTTTTGTTCTTTTTTTGTTTTGTTTTGTTTTGGTTTGGTTTTTTGCGGTACGTGGGCTTCTCACTGTTGTGGCCTCTCCCGTTGTGGAGCACAGGCTCCGGACGTGCAGGCTCAGTGGCCATGGCTCACGGGCCCAGCTGCTCCACAGCATGTGGGATCTTCCTGGACCGGGGCACGAACCCGTGTCCCCTGCATCAGCAGGCAGACTGTCAACCACTGTGCCACCAGGGAAGCCCTGTTCTTGTTTTTTAAATTACTGCTTGGGGTGGTTTTGTACATTAAGGATTCTGAGCACAATGCTTAGGTTTTTCAGGGGCCTTTGGCTGTGTTTGAGATCTGAAAGATTTTTGATAGTTCCAAAATATGAAAAGAAAACTGTTACAAGGTATAATATTATGTCACCTTCATTAATTATTAAATTCGGTATATACGAAGACATTTCAAACAATTTGTAGGTTAAACTTTCTCACTTATTAATATCTGTGTATGAATGAGGGTTTCTGAGAAATCACATATATATGTGTGTGTATACACACACACACACACACACACACACACATATATAGTTTGGATAGAGGCCAAGGATTACACAGGTCTCAAAACAGTGGAAACACAATAAATATTC